AAATTTAAAATTTTTATGTACCCTGCATGGACCTAAATGAACCTCCATCCAATTTTGGGGAAGATCCATCCACACCCTGCGAAGTAGTTACAGTAATATTATGTTTATATATATTTACTTATTCATGCAATTGTGTAGTTGTTTAATTATTTTAGTGCTTGCTCTGATGTTCTAGTTACCGTCTATATATTTGTTGTATGACTAAGCCAATAATTACGTTTTCTCTCCCAGGTACGAGTCTGTATGCGTGCTTCACGTTCTGTCCTATATATATATGTTGTTTTTTTTTATAAATTCTAAACGTTGTGTCTGGCAAAGGGCATATGCTCGAGTCATAGCTGATATATCTACCTTAATTTATTTATTTACAGCCCACATTTTAAAATAATTTAATGTAAATTATTCTTACTGTTTCATCAAATCCGACATTTCAGTGTTCCATGATTTTCTAAAAATAATAATTTTACATTTGTTTATCTAGTCCTGGATTAAAGATCTACTAACACTCATTAGTACGTTTTACCCGATACCAAGTAAATTTGCCTAAACATTGTCATTTGCCTTTTTCTTCTTTATAATTTTCCAATATGGTCGTTTTATGAGATTATTTATTCACTTTACCGAAAAATTCTCATTCTTTACACTATAACTTGTATATTATTTATATATAACGAGCTACTCTTATGAACAGCACACTTGTACACAAAACGTTCATTTGTGATTATGTAAAACTGCTTATCAATTTATACAGTATGTGATAAGCATAAATGACGTATATTGTAATTATTCTATTATTTTCATTACCACTTTATGCCAAATGATTCACCATTTTGGTTCTTTTGCATTAACAAATACACAGATATTCCGTGAGATGTCACTACCAGCGTTTTCGGATACTGAAATTTTCAACAACTGTAATAAAAATAATAGCTCTTACCATATTTGTAAAAGGGTAATTTATTTTCTAAACAAACAAAATTACACATCTTCCGAACGCGTGAGCTTTATGTGGTGAAATGCAGTTTGTAAAATCTCTAAAATGTAACCACTAGAATCCTATCAAAAGAATAAGGAAAACTAGCTACCAACAATTTAGCCTAAAGGATTGTTTATCGGTAGAGCAACGTTTAACAACTCTTTAGAATAAACTGTTTGCCACAATATAGTGAGAAAAACGGATATTCTACCCGAGTGGCACCTTATACGCAGGTGGGCCAGATCAGAGACTGTGGTTCAGCTATATATATATATATATACACACACACACACACGTTTTAACTATTGATTAAAGGGGAAAACAGGCAGCCAGCAGCACCCGCTGCCAAAAGGCTTTGTCCGGATCTTAGAACCGATAACAGAATTACTTGTTTTAGAATTTTCACGGAAAGTTATGTAGAGGTGATCTACGCACATCCGCATTAATTTTGAGCTGATAAACTAGATAGAAGACAGTTATTTAACAGCACACATCACAAACTCTTGGATTACTCTAACCTGACCGAATAGTGCAATTTGACTCAACCCTTATAACACATTTACAATCTCAAAGTAAGGAGCGCATTTTTGAAGCAACAGGCCACGATCCACGAAACTCTAGGATTCACAGTCCGAATATGTTATCCACTAGAACACGCGCGGCCCCATATAACGATATTGTTTGTTAGTGGTATAACGCAACTCTAGCTGAAAGTGCAGAGCATGTTCAGTTGTATTACGTCTCGAACCTAGGACTGTTCGACCTGCAACCAATAAGCTATGACGCGTCTCACTATATAAACAGAGAGAAATCTGTTTAGCCTCATATTTCATTTAAATTTCTATTTAATAAAATGTATCCCATGATGAGTCTTTTTCAGCCAAATATCCAGTACCCGAGTTATCAGTGTTAGTGTCAATGTCACGCACGTCAGATTGCAACTTCTTTCCTTATTTTTCATTGTGTATATTATAATTTTGTTTAAGTCACTATTTTAAATTTGTATAAATACTTTCTATATTTATTGAAAAATAATTTAAAATATTTAATTAAAAATTTTTCCTCGAACCCATTAAAAATCAATTTATGTACTAATCTATTAATATTAGATATTACTTGTACGTTACTGCAAATTCTACAATACCTAAGTAACTGTGAATGTGTGTGTGGCATTTGTTGGTACATTACTGTTTGGAGGGAAGTTCATAAATTTCAAATGTAAAACGATTTATTATAAATATTAGAATTGTCATTAATTATCTTAATGTTTAAACCTAAATAATGTACTTCAGTAGTTGATATAGAAGTATTCTCAATCTGTAGAACTGCAGGATTAGTGTTATCTATGTAATTACTTGTTACTGGATTATTAATACTAATCAAATCGTCAATATATCTCTACATTAAGAAAAATAATTCCGGATTTGAAAAATTTACGAATTTATTTTCGTAAAAATGAAGATACAAGTTAGCAATACGAATAATTAGCACCCATCGGTATACCTGTTGTTTGTTTATAAATGTACTTATAATTATTATATACAGAAAAACCGAAAATGCTTTTAATCTTATTAGCAGCAAAAGTTTGTTTTTCTATTTCTATGGGTAGATCTATAAATTCGTTTATTAACGATATGTAGGGGAAATAGTTGGAATTTCGTATCTTGTATAGGTAGATTAATGTAGTGGTAGTTATATCACCTTCCTGTATAAGCCCTGCTACTGTGTCAATCTCTTTTAAACCATTGAAGATCCAGAAGGGTAGAGGATGGCAGCTAAACTTATATTGGTTGGACTTAGTATAGTAATAACTTAACATGTTGGTATTTATGTCCTAACATCATATTGGGGGCTGGAATGCTAACTTTAAGGCCAGTTTTGCTGTCTCCCCCATTGATGTAATGTATTCTATTATTTCTTGCTGCTTTATTTTATTTTTCTTCCACATTTGGCTGCAGACAGCAAAAGTTGGTAAAGATTGAGACATTGTGGGCTAGAGCACCACATATGCTCAATTTTTATTTATTTATCTTAATCTGTGAAGTTGAGGTTGAACTGGACAGACAGTGTACCCCAACACAATTTGGTTTTTTTTTACTTCTGCCAGTATCTAAAAAAACAGGGCACATTACATAACACCAAACTTATGATTTGTGCCCCAGTGTTGGGAGTTTTTTTTCTCAATCTTTTTTTCTATATATAGACACAGATACTTCTAACTTCTTCTAACAGCTAATCTTACATTCCATACAAAATTCCCAAGGAAAATCGTTTATTACAGTTATACTGGGTGTTTTAAGTTTTATATGTAACTGCAATCTGAAAGATTACATTAATCTTTATTTTAAAAAAATCAGTAACAAAAACTTGTTTTTTCCAGCTAAGTGTGTCAGATCAATGCTCTATACTAGTCATGTGCCAAAAATGTTATAATTTTAACATCTAAGCTTTAAAAAGTTTTTAGTACATTTCTTCCACTGTGCCAATAATATTACCTCCCCACCCTCAAATTTCCATTCTAAAACAACAATGGCAGGTATATAAAACATCAAATATATATATATATATATATATACATCTGAATTTTGATATTTAAACACTTTACCAGAAAGTTTCATACTAACACAGATAAACTTTAAAAAGCATACTATGCTTTATGGGAACGACTGCCAAAAAGTTTTATATTATCATAGAAAAAACTTGCATGTGTTATGTTTATGGAAATGAAGGGAAAGTTTTATATACTACACTTTATTGGGATAATGAACTCAAAGATTGATAATAACAAAACATTTTAAATGCACTTTAATCAAGCAAGAAAAACAATGTCAAGCACTTCATCTAACTTTTGGTTTAGACCACATCTCAAATTTGGCTCATTGTTAAGAATATTTTATTCTTCTCATTTTATAATATTTCAAACATAAAAATTAATAAATAAACATTGATTAAGTCTTACTAAAAGTATCAAATTCAGTTCAGGTGAATATTTTTCTATTACCAGGTATATGGTATTTTGAACAGTACTGTGCTTGACACACAAGCTAAATGTCCATTCAGAGACCCTAAGTATCAAGGATAGCCATCACTTTTTTAAAACTGTGGACCAGACAAAGGGCAATCAGTCACCCGCTACGTACACTACTGTTCTTAATCAAAAAACAAGACTGACTACTACATTTATAATGCATCCACAGCTGTATATGCAAATATCCAGCTGCACATTGTAGGTTCAAACCTTGGAATTTGTGATTGCAGCCTGGTAAGCTAACTACCCTAATACTACCACTTCTGACCCCTATACTACTTAACATACAGATAAGTAGGTAAACAGTAGATAATAATTAGGCAGGAAAACAAATCTGATGGCAGCTCCTTTGGTAATAAATACTGTTGGGATCTCAAACATTATTTTTAATCCTTTACTTGAAGTGTCACTTTTGGAATTTAATTTCTATATTTTTTTCCAAAAATAAAATGCTACGCTTTAAGTTGGGTTTCATATTAAAAACAGTAACAATTTAAAACTTTCTTACAATTCAGATAGAATGTTAAAATATAACGAAATATCATTTGCTCATCACTAAATGTAGCTAACAACCCCAGACAAAGGTAATTAAAAACAATATTAAGGCCTTTTTTAGTGGTGGTCTGCAAGTTGTTTAGTGTTTAAGATGTCCTTCACCCATCACAGTGAACACATAAAAGGCCTAGTCTTGTTTTCAGTTTGTTATTGTCCAGGGTTACTCATGAGGGGTGAAATTCCCCAAAACCAGAACCCAACGACAAGTGATGCAACCAACCATCAGGCTGAACTTTGCATTTCTTTCATGCTGAAATTCATATACTTTGGTGTTAAATTTGTTTTTATAAATGCTACATATCTTTCAGATATCTGTATAAATATAGGTTCATTGTGCTGAGTAAAGAACAATTACATACACTGATACAAAACGTGATCATAAAAGAGGACCATTATGTGGCAGATAACATCATAATTAATAAGGAATACAAGAAATACAACTTCTGTGATATTTCAGTTTTATTGTGAGAACTACAGATGAATATGTCAAAACAGCAATATGGACACTATTAGTAAGTGGTTAGCAATTTTGTTATATTAATAACGGAATGCTAAGAAAATTATGATTATTTGCTGGTAAATAAAAAAAAACTTTTTTTGAACATGCAAAAAATTCATCAGAATCACCACACTTTGGAACGAATTATTTCCCCTTTGTTGATGACAAACCAGCTCGCATGATTTCATCTACCAGGAGAAGGTTGCTAGCTATGACAGTACTGTAAAAAAAACAAAAAAAAACACAACTATTTTAAAAAAAAACAAAAAAAACTTCGCACTTTCCAGTCGTAATCCAAAAGTCATAACAGAGATTGCCCGTGGTAATAGCACCCAAAAGCATTGGGGCTTCTCACTTGCTTTTTGGATTTTGTTTGACAGATGGGTTATCCCCAACATGCTTTTAGGTGCTATTACCACAGGCAATCTCCGTTATGACTTTTGGAAAAAACCGGAAAGTGCGAAGGGTTTTCTTTTCTTTTTTTAACAGTTTTTAATTTATATTAAATATATTGTTTTATAGTGCTGATCTTAATCATCTATTGACAATTAATGTAACTGATATAATAGTTTTGAAGCTATACCTTTTATTTTATATATATAGTTTTCTTTCCATCTTAAAAGTATTCCCCATTGTATATATTTAAAATTAAAAATACCAATCTTATTGAAAACACCTATTCATCAGTTACACTATCGGTGAAGTTCAACATTCAGGGAATAATCCTATTGTTTTATCATAAAAGAAAATCATTTATCAGACATGATGTGCAACATAATTCGTGTATGCTAAGAAAGGGGAGGGGAACCTATAGAAATCTATCATTAATATGCTTTTTTATTTCTCTTAAAATTTATTCTACAGTTTTTAGTTTAGGTACTTTTTTTAAGCCAGTAATGATAGAATTAGATTTTTTTTAGAAATATCTGATGTACTTTTCAACTAAATTTTCAGGTTTAATTCTTGCTTTCTCTTTAGACCAACAACAAAATTTCTGGTATAAAAACACTGGAATGTTACTCCTGAAATACCACTCAGATTTCTATCTAACTTACTGATTTAGACTCTTTTTGACCAAAATTCATTCTGGTAAAGTTATGGTATAAAAACCTGGGGTTTACGTTTTCATATTTGCATTATTCTCACACAGTTAAGGTTTCTCATAGAAAAATGCAACTTAAGAAAATGATTGTGCACCCTAACAGTATGACTTAAAGTTAAAACAAAGGTGTATATTGATTCTTTTGTTTGCGCCAAAATATTCCATCAGCTTCATTTCAAGTTTTAAAAAAAAGCAATACTCCCATTTAAAACTAATACAAAATATATCATGGAAATTAAATCTTGCAATAATATAATTAGGTAAAGCAGACACCCATCCACTAAGGTTTCACTTATCTGGGCCAACTGTTTCTGTTGGCCGGTGCTACTTAGCTCATCTAAGGTATGGTTATTTGATTGGTTAAAATTTCAATACATTCTGCTAGCAAATTAATTTCAGAAAACAAATATCTGTCTATCAATTGCATATAGAAACAAAGGAAAAATAGAAAGAAATATATAATAAACAATCATATGTGTAAATAGTAAGGCCTACTAACAGCAATTCTTAAAGATGCATTTTAATTTCTGTGTGTATGTGTTGTTTAAATCTAGCTAAAAACCTTTTACTTCTGCAAAATTTTCAAATTAATGTCCATGTAGTGTTTTAACATCAAAATGACTTTAAAAGCCAATTTTCAAAGTATTTATTATGTCATTTTTTGCTGCTCAAAATTGTTACATTTTTATATTTAAAAAAGTGCACATACAATAAGCATGTTTGAACATGTTTTGTTTTCATTTTAGTTTCAAATAGGTTTGCTGTATAATTTTCTCAAATTTTGTTTACAAATTTAATGTTTTGTTTAGTTTTGAGAATTTGTTAACAAGATGTGGATTACTAATTAAAAACCTTTGAAAGTGTGGTGAGTGCTCACAGCATCAACATTGTCAGGGATGGTTTTTAGTGTTAAAAGAACTTTTAGAAAGAGCACATCTTGGCCAAATACTTGATTTTGTGTGGTTAGATAAGGATGCAAACTGAGTGAAGTACCACAACTCTATTTTGTTTAATTTTGATACATTTTACTAACATATATTAAAACCAAACTTACCATGAATTTATTAGTTGTCGTTTTACTCTAAAATTGTCAAATATTCCTGCATCAGCAGCCACTAAAGCTTCTCCTAAAGAAAAAGAATAGTTATGTGAAGCACAAACCTGAAATTCAATTTGTTACATAAAAAAAATTCCCCAAACTTCAGAATTCTATGAAATAATTCCACTATTTAAAATAAAGAAACCAGGAACATTAAAAGTTCATACTTCAAATATATAAAGGCTTCTTATTAAAGCTTCCTGACACACAGTTAAACATTAGGGCTTCCCATCATTAATAACAAAAGCCTATCCTACTTTCAGCTGACACATGCAACACAGTAAGCAAGTGCTGAAAATAATAATAAAACAAGCTTCACAACATCACACATAGCAGGTTTTTTTTATTATACAAGCTATAAAAAAAGAAAAGAATCATATCAATATTTATAATTTACAGAAAAGCAAAACAATCTTTCATACCTGAATTGATATCCAGCCCAACCAGTTGACCAACATTGTTGTGCTCTTGAATCAATTTCACCATGGTTTCTTGGGAATCATATCCAGCATTTGAGGCCAAAACTTTGGGTATTACAAGCAGAGCATCAGCATAAGCTTGAACACCTAGCTGAGCCCGTCCCTTTACTTCCATCTTGTACTTAGACAATGCTGCATGTGCTGCAATTTCATAAGCTCCTGCCCCAGGAACTATACTACCTGGTGAACATTTAATACTTTGTTTTAAATCTCATTCAGTCATGTTACATACACACACACACACACACACAAATATATTGAAATATAACAACCTTATTCTATGTACTTCTACAAGGTGTCAAAACTAACCGAGGCTTTCAGAGTTTAACATTAATAATATTGCTTCATACTATTATTTCCTCAAATAGTGTCTTTGATTTCATTTTTGTTTGGGCTTGTTTTTGTTCATTTGGATGTCATTTATGTGTGTGTGTGTATATATATATAAAAAAAAACTCAAGTGTGTAAAATAATGTTTAAAACTCACTCTACGACCTCTTAAAATACTCAGATTAATGTAAGTAATTTAAAAGCCAGCATGATGATGTAGAGTATTAAACAAGCTGATTTACTGAGAGGAAGGGGTATATATTCAATGCCTAGTCTTAAACAAAAACACAGATGAAATATTTCCACAAATTTATAATATATTAACAAAAGCAGACTTGTGCGATTTTTATGTAGAATCAATAAAATCATGGAAAATTTTATGACATGTTTCTCTAAATTTTAGAATGCTTGTTATTTACCAGTTTTTATACGCAAGCTTAAACCTTATTTAACACTACGCACTAGGCTTGGTCAAGTTGACTGACCTTTTAACCACCTGTAACTGTGAAACCATACATATTATAACTCTGAAGATATTAAGTGCATCTGTATAAAATTTGGCAAGTATTTATTCAGTAAAGATTGCAAATTTATTGTACACAAAATCATATTTTTATTAAAGATTTATGGCTTGAATGGGTAATGAAGAAAAACTTTAATATAAGTTTAACATAACAGCAAATGTATAACGTTTCGACAAGGTTTTGTCATCATCAGGTACCTGATGATAACAAAACCTTGTCGAAACGTTGTACATTTGCTGTTGTGTTAAACTTATGTTAAATATGTTGTTTTTTATGTATGTTTTATTGTTTTTGTTGTTTTTTAAGCCAAAAGTAACAAAATTAAAAGCTTCTTATGTAACAAAAATAAGAATTTAGGAGCTTAGGAATTTGAGTTCACAAGCTCAAACTATGTGTAACTTGATTAGCTTGTTTACTTTACCTGTGAGTTAAAATATGATATGGGTTTTCACTGTGAGCTGTTGCTGTTCACAGGATGATAAACAGCTTCTTGGGAACAAAGCCCAGCAATGAAGCAATAAAAATTAAATGTATATGAAAAGGTTAAAAGTTTAAATTATGAAGATAATTTAATTGAAGATCTGGTAATAAATGTTTTCTAATAATAAGATATTTATTTTGTTTATTTTTAATTTTCATTTCATCACACATTGAATCACTGTAGTTGGTGTTAGGATAGAAAAAATAAGATAAAATATATAATCTTACCAAAATAAAATTGATACTACTTTAGGAAATTCTGGATGTTAAACAAATGAAATACAAAAACTATAATATTAAAATAATTTGTTCCTTTAATGCAAAATCAGCTCTTAATCAAGCTGTCTCGGTAAAACATTTGTAAAATCTCGGATCTCCAGCCATTATTAGTCTCAAAGTGGGTTCCTCGTCATTAAACATATTTAGCAGTTAGCTTACACATTGAGCATCATTTGCATTTGAATGCAGTGCTTCAGTAACCCTACTTTTTGCTTACTGTATTGAATTTCAAAAGAATAATTCATATAGCTTTCAAATTTGGTTTTTTATTTGTAAAGCACAAAGCTATACAATGAGCTGTCTGTGCTCTGCCCACCACGGGTATTGAAACCCAGATTCTAGCGTTGTAATTCCAAAGACATACCATACCACTATGCCACTGGGGGAGCTTTCAAATATTATCAGCCAATAGAACAAGATGTCCCAGGGTTTTTAACTAAGCTATAGATAGGTTAAAAAAATTCCATTAGCTACTCAGAGCTGAATAACAACAATCACAAATAAATAATTTAAGGCCAACTGTCTATATAAGCCCCCCCCCCCCCAAACAACAACTAATAAATGTTTTGTGGAAGAAATGCTCTCTGTATTAGTTATAAACATGTCTTTAAGCTAAGTGTAAGTCATTGTGATAAGTGCCTTGAAACCTATAAGATGGGAGAAGTTTCTCTGGTTGGTTGAACAAATTTGTTGATATCACCACAAATCAAGGAAGGAAGGAGATTCAAGTTTTTATATTCTGATCTGTCACTATCTATAATTTATGTTTCTAACTGGTTAGATACTCTGAAATCCATAAAAGGGAAAATATATTAGAAGTTAGAGCACAAGAAATGTCATGTGATGCACAGAAGTAAAGAATGAGAATTTATTTATGCATTGCTTTTTAAAGTTAAGAAATTAAAACTTAGATAATACAAACATTTGAACTAGAAAATACTTTCTGATACCAAGTTTATTGATCTATGTTTATAATAAAGTTAATTACATTATAAACATAACTATAAAAAGGATGTGAACATGTGCACTTTGACCTGTTAGTCAATCGTATGCACAGAGTTAAGAGAATTTATGTTACTAGCTGTACATTTTCGAGGTAATATAGTACCTATAAATATACTCCAGTATGTACATGTATTTTTTAATAAACAACTTCACAAAAACTAGCAAACAAAGTTAATATTTATTGAAAATATTTTCACCTATTAAACAACAAATAATGTTTAAGAGTATGCAATTTTGGTAATATCTTAGTTTATTTAGTTCTCAAAAATCACTAATTTATGACAGGACAAGTTCTTGTAGATTTGTCATTTCTTATAGCTTTAGAAGCATTTTTCAACTACATGTTTGATGGGAGTATCCGACAATAATAGATAGGATATAGTTAGAGTAGGAAATACATTTAATACTTATGTCAGTAAATACTGATGAGAACTCAAAATGTCACAATTATAAACTGATAACAAATAAATACCAGCATGAAAACCTTTCTATATATATACATTTTGTAGTATTGTAATAAAAAGGTGTATTAGCTAATAAAGCTGAGTAAGTAAAATAATATTTAAGTCATTCAACAGCTTTCCAAATAGAACCATATTCAAGAGAAACCAACCATCTTCAATAGCATTCTTGACAGCCCGAAGTCCATCATGGACAGCGTCCTTCATCTGAGTGAGGCTATGTTTATTTGGGCCTTTTAATAATATTGTCACAGAGTGTGGATTCTGTAATTCTTCAATAAACGTGTACTTGTTCTCGCCTAGAACATGTTCATATACTAACCCCGCTGTTCCCAAGCATTCAGGGGTCAAATCCTCAACAGAATTAACAGCTGTTCCACCACAAGCCAATGCCAGTCTGTAAAGACAGTTACCAGATTCAACAAACATCAAGAATGAGATAAAACAAATATGTTCTTGTAAGTTTAATTTTTCAGAAACAGGTAACAAACTTCACAATCATAATATAAATGTTTAGTGAGATTAAATAATACAAATAAATATATAGTCTAATAATATTTTATTTTAGAAATCATAAAATATTTTATTTGAAAAGTTTTTTTGGTGTACAAAACTTGAAGATAGCTTTTATATGTGGAACATCTGTTAGCAGAGTTCTTGCACAGATCTTAAAATATAACATTGATATACGGAAACATCGGCACATGTAGATACGTAGATCTTGAAAGTTGAGTTGTTCAAAACTTGAAAATAGCATTGATAACTGGACCAACTGTTGGTTGACATGTTGCAAAAGACATATCTGCAGAAGCTTTTCGCCAGACACTAATCATAGCAGAACCGTCTGGAAAATTATCTATAGGAAATTGTACAGCTTTTAAAATGAGTCAGATCAACGTAGGCCGGTAAGGCAATCATTGACTGGTATGTCCTTAAGCCAAGCAGGAAATGCCTCCAGACCTACTGAAGGATGTGTAGATTGTATAGGAATTCTTTTTGGCGGCAAAGGACAGGTTTATGTGTTTTAATAAAGGTGGCTTCCAAAATATGGAGATGAAAGGGTGACAGACCATTTGCAATAATTTTAAACCTGCTATCCATGTAGTTGTCAGCACAAGTCGGGTTCACTAGTAAATGCTGGACAATCACTGATTCACATTTAGGTGGTAGAACTTTTGTTTTACAGGAGCGACATGGTAAATTCTTTTCTTTCACACTCTTAGTTCTTATGGATGTGGGTACATGTTGTTTAATTCTATCCTGTAATCTTTGTGAAGTGCGACCTACATACAGACATTCAGAGTAGCATGAGAATTCATAAATAAACATACTTTTCTGTGTGGTAGGTATCGCATCTTTGTGTGTTGCAGGCAACAACTTACGTGTGGAATAAGCACAGTAGGGGTTCACTGCAG